CTTTCAAGAAATTTGTATGAATCATCGGACGACCATATACTATTGGAACAACATATTTTTTTCAAGAGGTTTTTATGAATTCCTTATTACGCACATATATACTGCATACAACACCCTACTGTTATTCGCATGCTACTGATTAAAGTTGCTTGCCACATCGCACGTCATTTTTACCAAACCTTGCATTATTGTACTCGGCCGTATCGACATATGGTTCAAATTTAGCTTGGACCTCGCCGCCAGTATTGCATTATCTATCTCGCAATCTCATGTTACAAATGCATGCTTTGGTATTATCATATTTGCTCATGCCATCGCTCACATTGTTAATATCATGCCCCTTTAGACTAATCCTTGCTTGTTCGTTCAATTGCATACGTGGCATTCAGAGCCCACATCCTTTTCACGCATCGTAATTTTCCACTACCAATTTTTTTTTTTTTTTTTTTTTTCACTCGAAAGAGCAAACACACATCTGTCAGAATGTTATGTTTTGTCTAGCCTGCAGTGGGGTACTCAATAGTGAGTACAGCCCAATTTAGGGTTTGCTATATGTACTCAACTGCTTGCTAGTGAAACCCCTCTCTTTTCTCTTTCTCATTTCCAACTTCCTACTGCAGTTTCTTAACAACATCCGCATACTAGAAGCCGCTGCCCTCGTGCTCTCACGCAAGCAAGTAGAGCCACAACTGCACCTAACGCCGACACCCTTAAATTTGCATTAGTCTTGCAAAACTTATGCAAGAGCGCCTGGGCGACTTGCTGCAAGAACTGTATGAGAACTTGCTAGAAATTACGACATTGACGGCAGAACAGGAATTGCTCCACCGTGAGTCGAAACCTGCATAAACACACGTACCGCCACCAGCACCAATAACACCATCTCAATACGAGGGTGTGGGACAACGTTCGAATGCTGCTAGTGATCATCACAAAAACCCTATGCCAAGTTTGGACGAATTTTGATTTCGATTGTCTACGCGTAAAAAAATCCGGATTCAATTTGGACCGACGGTTGGAGTCATTTGATAGGAGCTCCGAGACACATCTCGCGACAACGTTTGGCTCGGTTCAAGTTCCAATTTGGCGCGCGTGGTTTTCCGGATGACATTCGGGCGCAAACCGTTTTGTTGCAAATTCGTGACCAAATTATTCAAAACTAAATTCTGTTTTTGTTTATTTTGGATATTGAGGATTTTTAAAATTGCATTTATTATTGCAGTTTACAACAACCATTATTCAGCATTCTACTTGCTACAATCAGTCTTAGCACCAAGTCAAATAGCCTACGCACTGGCGGGCCTTGAAAGCGCCCGGTGGGCAAGGACGACATCTCCAAGGTCGCCATCGTCGATAAGGAACTTGTTCGGAAAGACGAACACACCCCTCGCCGGATCGTGGGGGATCCTCCGCTCCACGACAGCAAAGTGGATCATCTGTTTGACCTTTTCGCACCACTCCTGGTAGTCTGGCCTGTTCTGTTCCGACTGGCTACTGATTCGCTTGCGACGCTTATCCTGCAGAAGGGGCCGTTCGATCTGCAATGTGGTGTAGGGTTGGGTGGATGGTTTATGAGGAGGGTGGGTTGCGGGTAAATGAGCCAACTGAAAGCGGTGATTCAGTCGTCACTATCTACGTAACTCCAAAGGCTTAATTGACCAGGGATTTAGCTGAACTACAAGCAAGGGGTGAAGGGGATGAGGCATGGGGGTACAAACACATATCTACATCCTTACCGAAAACAGGCCCCATGCCACCATGCGGCTCTTGAACTTTGCAAACACCGCCCCGCCCCTCTTGAAGGAGAGCTTGAACGCATAAGCGAACAAGGGGTTGCTGAAGGGCGTCCCGGTGGCCTTGTCAAAGTGCCAGTTGAGGGTCCACTGTTCTGCATTTTGGCAGGGAGGGTAAGGGTTGGAAAGGGTTTTGTAGAGAAATCAAGTGGGGGGATGAGAGTCAGGGTGAGCCACATCGCACGGTGATATGTAGCTGCCAACTGGCATATGGTGTTTTCCAGTTGCACATACCATCTCTGTACTCGGCTAGGAGTTGATCGTCGTCGAACCAGGTCATTGGGTGTAGCTCAGTGGGCAGGCTTTCAACGAGATGGTGGTAATCGGCAAGGCCCATGCCGGTGTATGCTGCTGGCCTGAGGGTGGAGTTGATAGTTGACCTTGTTGAGGACAGCTGGTGGTTGAAGACTCCCATGGTTGACTTGTCATTGTGCAACCACAGCAGCTTCATTGCCTCGAGCCCTTCTGCAGACAAGTGGACCGAGAACGCGTCGAACACTTCCTCCGGTGTAGGGTAGTACTGTATTTTCTCCGGCGGGTTCAGAAACATGAGCTGAGAGCACACTAAGTAGGCTTTGTTCTGCGCAGAGGTGTAGGGTATACAACACGACATGAGAGAGAGAAACCAGCAGTTATGAGGGTGGCCGCGTGACCAGGGGATGGTGACTAGCAACACTGTGTGAACTTGCCACGTCACACCCTGCGCCATCCGCCATGTCCATCAACAACCCGCCCCACTTGCCACGTCACACCCCCCTACCACAAGCCACGTCACCCCCCACCCACCTGACACGCCTCGCTTCGTCATGCGCCGCTCACGTGTGCCCTTTCAAACCGCCACGTCATCCCCAACCCTCACCTTCCGCCACGTCACACCCTCCTGCATCTGCCACGTCCACCAACAACCCGCCCCACTTCCCACGTCACACCCCCCCACCCCAAGCCACGTCATCCCCAACCCTCACCTTAAAGGCCTCGTCTCGTCATGCGCCGCTCCCTTGTACCCATCCCAACCGCCACGTCATCCCCAACCCTCACCTTCCGCCATGTCACACCCTCCTGCATCCGCCACGTCCACCAACAACCCGCCCCACTTGCCACATCACACCCCCCTACCACAAGCCACGTCACCCCCCACCCACCTGACACGCCTCGCTTCGTCATGCGCCGCTCACGTGTGCCCTTTCAAACCGCCACGTCATCCCCAACCCTCACCTTCCGCCACGTCACACCCTCCTGCATCCGCCACGTCCACCAACAACCCGCCCCACTTCCCACATCACACCCCCCCACCCCAAGCCACGTCATCCCCAACCCTCACCTTAAACGCCTCGTCTCGTCATGCGCCGCTCCCTTGTACCCATCCCAACCGCCACATCATCCCCAACCCTCACCTTCCGCCACGTCACACCCTCCTGCATCCGCCATGTCCACCAACAACCCGCCCCACTTGCCACGTCACACCCCCCTACCACAAGCCACGTCACCCCCCACCCACCTGACACGCCTTGCTTCGTCATGCGCCGCTCACGTGTGCCCTTTCAAACCGCCACGTCATCCCCAACCCTCACCTTCCGCCACGTCACACCCTCCTGCATCCGCCACGTCCACCAACAACCCGCCCCACTTCCCACATCACACCCCCCCACCCCAAGCCACGTCATCCCCAACCCTCACCTTAAACGCCTCGTCTCGTCATGCGCCGCTCCCTTGTACCCATCCCAACCGCCACGTCATCCCCAACCCTCACCTTCCGCCACGTCACACCCTCCTGCATCCGCCACGTCCACCAACAACCCGCCCCACTTGCCACATCACACCCCCCTACCACAAGCCACGTCACCCCCCACCCACCTGACACGCCTCGCTTCGTCATGCGCCGCTCACGTATACCCTTTCAAACCGCCACGTCATCCCCAACCCTCACCTTCCGCCACGTCACACCCTCCTGCATCCGCCACGTCCACCAACAACCCGCCCCACTTCCCACGTCACACCCCCCACCCCAAGCCACGTCATCCCCAACCCTCACCTTAAATGCCTCGTCTCGTCATGCGCCGCTCCCTTGTACCCATCCCAACCGCCACGTCATCCCCAACCCTCACCTTCCGCCACGTCACACCCTCCTGCATCCGCCACGTCCACCAACAACTCGCCCCACTTGCCACATCACACCCCCCTACCACAAGCCACGTCACCCCCCACCCACCTGACACGCCTCGCTTCGTCATGCGCCGCTCACGTGTGCCCTTTCAAACCGCCACGTCATCCCCAACCCTCACCTTCCACCACGTCACACCCTCCTGCATCCGCCACGTCCACCAACAACCCGCCCCACTTCCCACGTCACACCCTCCCACCCCAAGCCACGTCATCCCCAACCCTCACCTTCCGCCACGTCACCCTCCCCCACCCCAAACCACGTCACCCCCCACCCACCTAACACGCCTCGCCTCGTCATGCGCCGCTCCCTTATACCCTCCAAAACCGCCACGTCATCCCCAACCCCGCCCTGGTTGCCATGTCAACCCCAACCCGCCCCATTTGGCCCGCCACATACCGGGAATGGGTTTGTCTCCTGCAACATTAGCACTCGTGCCTTCTCCACGGCACTCATCGGCGGTGGGATACCTTCCATAGGCACCACTGCGGACCCCCCGGCATAACTGGCAGGTGCTCCACGACGCAGGCCGAGCTGAGCAAACATGGCGTACATCTCAGACCGTAGCGCCTGGAACTCCTCCCATGTAACAAACTGCTCGTGCTCCGCACTTTCACCTAGGGCACCCAAGAGCGGGGGAAAAGGGTATGAAGAATCCCCCTTCTGGCCAAGGGGATCAACGTCTTCTGCAGCAGTCCCGTGTGCCCTCACACTATCACGATGGCGGGAAAAGGGCAGCTCAGGGAAGGGATTGGCAGAAGTGCTTGGCCCTTGGCCGCGCGAAGGACCGGCGAGGGGGGAGACGGCCCTGCCCCAGACAGGAGAAGTGTGGAGCTGCCGAAATGGGTATGTGGGTGAGGCGAGTGGGGAGTGCGTGACGTGGCCTGGTGGAGGGGATTCGGATTCCTCTCCTCTTGGAGCACCGGGTGCCCTGGCAGCGACTTTAGACGGGCCGGAGTATGGCGTGTAGAACCTTGGGGCTCCTGTGGATAGCGGGGTAACACTCGCTCTTCCGGCCCCCTTCGTTAGCTGCATCCGTTGCATGCTTACCGGTGGCCCAATGCCTGTAACACAAGGGGCTGAGATTTATAGGGAGCAGGAGCACAAAATTAGAGTCGATTAGTTTCAATACAGGGGCACAAATGCTTGCGTACGATCAGCGTTTTGAATTTAAATCGTGTTAAAACGGTTACTGTTTTGTAACAAGAGGCCTTACCTTGCTTTGCAGATTCGTCGACCATCTCCTTCCCTGCAGGGGAGAAACAATGTGAAAAAATGTGTTAATTGGTACGGTTGAGCAGAGAGTTCAGCAGCCACGCCATGTGTATGGGCCACAGTGCTTACCTTTCAGCTATCCCTTCGGTTTTCTTGCTGCCTGCGCCTTCTCGTTGCCACCTTTCCGCAGGGTGCTTTGGCGGCCGCTGGGATGTTTACCGGCTGGTTCTTTGTTGCCGGAACCCACTGGAACCCCTTTGGCGCGGCCGCCATCCCCTTTTGATCCCTGGCTCCCTTGCTTCTTACCAACTCCTTCGCTTTCGACCTTCACTTTACGCGTCTTCGGTTTGCCCGCTGCTTCGCCACGCGGGCGTCACCGGCCCCGCGTTTTCGGGAATGGCGATTCCGGGCCCCCACCTTCCCTGTACCACTTCCCCGTCTGCCTCGCCCGCCCCGTCCTTTCACTGCCGCCACATCCTCCTCCTCCTCCTCCTCCTCCTCCTCCTCCTCCTCCTCCTCCTCCTCCTCCTCCTCCTCATCCTCCTCCTCCTCCTCCTCCTCCTCCTCCGCCTCCTCCTCATCCTCGTCGCCCCCCTCCTCGTCCTCCTCCTCCTCCTCCTCCTCCTCCTCCTCCTCCTCCTCCTCCTCCTCCTCCTCCTCCTCCTCCTCCTCCTCTTCGTCCTCCTCGTCATCATTCTCATCCTTTTCTTCCTCCCCAACCTCCGCGTCCTCCTCCTCCGCATCCTCTTCATCCTCCTCTTCCTCCGCATCCTCCTCCTCCTCAGCCTCCTCCTCCTCATCCCCCGCATTCCCCTTATATTTCTTGCCCCTCATTCCGCCGGATGTTCTCCTCGCTGCGGGTCGGCCCTGCTTGCGCAATGCATGACCCGTCGCCTGGCCACTTGCTTCCCTGGCGCCTCGTGTTGTCCCAACTTCCGCACCACCGGCGTCGTCAGCACCGCGGCTTGTCTGCCGCCTCTTCGACCGCGTATTGATGTTCCCGGGCACGGCGGTGTCATACTCTTCTTCCCCATCGCTCTTCCTTTGCCTACGCCTCCCACGTCCACCAGAAGGAGGAGAGCCACCTACGTCGGAGATGCTGTGTTCCCCCGCCTTGGCCTTATCCACCACGGCAGCAGAAACTTCGACCACGGTCGGCTGGAGAAGCGTCAGTCCGTGTTGGGATGCCTCCGCCTCGGACTCCTGGGTTGCGCCATGCTCGGCGCGGGGGTTCCCCCTGTCACCGACCCCTCTCTCTCCGCCGACGGGACTGCAAGACTCACGCTCCATGTGGCAGTAGTAGCAGTCTTCTCCTTCTCTTCCGCCTTCTTGCCGGACTTCTCCTGTCCAAACGCGGCCTTTTTTCCCGCCAATTTTTTCACCACTCTGCCACGCGCGGCGGATGCATTAGTACCTTTAGAGCCGCCACCACCCTCCCTATCAGTCTGTTGAGACAGCCTCCTTGTCGCGCGACGTCCGGCCTGTTCCTCCTCCTTTTCTTTTTGTCGTGTTGCACGTGTCATGTTTGTTTTACGAATGCGAATTTGTGAATTCTGTCATCTCTCTCCGAAAACCTCTGCCTTCAATCAATACTGACATAGTAGTCAGCTGGAGCTCCGGCCCATGACTTAGTCGACTGGTACTACCTAACACGGGCGATCTAGAAACGCCTGTGTCAAACATCGAGCAGCGTCAAAGTTGTGGGCCAGAGGGTGACGGAAGCAGGTGGGTGGGGCACGAGGGTGGTTGGGGTGGCTTGCGCGACTAGAGAGATTACTGTAATCAGATCAGGCTAGATCGGACGGTGTACGTGTAGCCACCCGATCAAAAACCCACCCACCGCTCGATCACATCCGCTTAATGGCGGAAGTACCGCTTGGCGGGTGCTTGTGTTGCGGGAGGGGTCGTTTGAGATGCGTCGCCCAATCAGTGTCGCCAACGCACAAATGAATTGTCATGCTGGAACTGTTTTTGAATCAATTGAGCGAAAGCAACCTAAACCCTGCAAATTACAGTGATGTCGCGAACGAACAATGTTGCACATACGAGCTAAATAACATTTAAAACTACAACAAATACAATAAAAATAAAATTGGTTGCTAATGTAATAGTCTGGGGTTGAGGTAAGGTAGTGGGTTTGTATCATGTCACACACACAAAGAGCGTCCAGAATTATTACTTCATACAATTTAACTGAGCACTATTAGGCTATGCCACAATGGTTACGCGTCGCTGTACGAAATCTAACACGTTTTTCAATAGTGCCGACATGGAGAAACCGTTGTGGTATGGTGTTGGATTGGGCTCAATTCTTGCATGGACCTTATAAAAGGTGCATAAAAGGAGTGGTATGAAAGACAGGGCTAACGCACAAGCGGTGATGCGTTATCGACAGCCATGTTTAGACAGGGCGACGCTGCATCGTCCAGGCCCATGTTTTGCGCGACATGGTGAAACCGTTGTGGTATGGTGTTGGATTGGGCTCAATTCTTACATGGACCTTATAAAAGGTGCATAAAGGGAGTGGTATGAAGGACAGGGCTAACGCACACGCGGTGATGTGCTATCGACAGCCATGTTCAGACAGGGCGACGCTGCATCGTCCAGGCCCATGTTTTGCGCGACATGGTGAAACCGTTGTGGTATGGTGTTGGATTGGGCTCAATTCTTGCATGGACCTAATAAAAGGTGCATAAAGGGAGTGGTATGAAGGACAGGGCTAACGCACAAGCGGTGATGCGTTATCGACAGCCATGTTCAGACAGGGCGACGATGCATCGTCCAGGCCCATGTTTTGCGCGACATGGTGAAACCGTTGTGGTATTGCATCCGATGACGAAACCGTTGTATTATTGTATTAGATTGGGCTCCATTCTTGCATGTTAATTCAGCACAGTGCTTTGAGGTCCCCAAAACCTCTTGTGAAGTGACGATATACATATTCGGTACATGCAACAATCTTACGGAAGCACACTGAGTTCATGGGTTATACCCGTATGTTTCCATACCACACTAGAGAACAAGGAGGGTTTACAAACACTATCGTTGTCAATTAGGGGTTGTTTTTGTGCAGGCCCATAAGTATGTTTGTATAATACTAATTTTAATTGAATCGAGTTTCTATGTAAAATGTAACTGTACATTGTCATTACCTGGTTTGGATTAAGTCTCTAAAGGTGCGCACCACTTTGGGCTCACCTACGTGATTGCGATTTCCCCCCTATAGCTACTCGAGAAAGAATCACAGCACCAAACACATCTCTTCCCTCTCTTCCTCATCCCCCTCGACTCTCCCGCACGATTCAAAAACCCAAGTTTTGAATTAAGAGGCACGTACTTCTCACCGTGCTCGCGACGCACCCTCATGACCAAGCGTTCTAAACTCCAGTGCATACAACCCTGCTCACGTCGTGGTCGCTCTAAGAGGGGGCGACACGCCTTGTAGGAAAGGGAAATGCCGTGCTGTTGGCGGTTTGTATCGTGCCTTTTCACGGCCGTGCTGCTCGACCATCGTTAGCCAGTCCCTAACCATCGCGCCACGCTCAAGTGCCAGTTGTGCAGAGATACAAGCCGCCATGGAGAGTTCGCGCTTTGGCGATGACCGTGTTGCAGTCACAGCCTTCGTTGACGGTGTATATGCGTTCACAAACGTTAAACAGGCTAGTTGCTTCATAGGCCATTACTCCACTCTAAGACGGATCCGTAACACATGGGCTCTTTGCCAGGCGTTGTCTGCGAGTTCTACAACAGATGGTTCCCCAACGCCCAAGTTTTTGGCGGTCATAAGTCACGGCGGACCCCTTGTCACGACATTCTCTCGGACGCTCCCGCTGCTCCCGCTTCACCTACTGCGTCTAACGCATCCAACACCGTCAGTGTGAGCGGTGCTCCTCGCGTGCCTGAAGCTGACGAGGACGAAACACCCTCGGACGTTAACGGGGGGGCTCCGGAAGATGAACATCAACCTCAACCAGGAACACCTGCAGCTGACACGAGTGAGCATCCTGAGAGCCAGCCTGAAGGGAGTCAAGCCTCGCCGCCTACAACCATCTCCGGACAGAGCGATGCCATGCCCCTCAATCCGCTCACGTTGAAGCTGCTTCGTTTCGTTCGGCGTGTGAATGGCGGAATGGGAATGGCAGAGGTTGACATCACTGGCTTGCTTCAGCTCATGGTAGAGCCCGGCCTTGCGCCTCTTGTGACCTCAGAGCTCCGGAACTGCAAGGATCTGGAGCGGTTCGAGATGGAGCGCTTGGCAGGGCTCAATTGCGGATGGTCGGTGGCGACATTCGAGATTGACGGTCATCCGCCTCAGCGCCTGCTATTCCAAAACTCAGCTCAGGTAAGCCGACTCTGAATCCTTGGCAGTGAAATGCTGATATGGCAACCTTGTGGTGCTTGTATGAAGTTATATTCGTTCTCCTTGTATGAGATCGGACCCACCAATCCACGCATCTAACCATGCCTCTCTTCTCTACTGCCTTCGCCACTGTAAACCAGTCATTCGCTGAACTATTTGGGCATACCAACAACGTGCCCGGCTTCAAGCTCAAGGCGTGGGTCGATGAGGACCCTGACACAGGCGACCGTCGCTATACCATGCCGGAAACAGGAACGTGGTGGAATGATGCTCAGGTATGGATATACCCCGTTGCCACCCAAAACCGGATCCGTGCTCATGCCTCCGTTGCTGCGCTGATGTGTCTGGTGCATGATGAGTGTGTCATGTTCGATGAACATGCTATGAAGGTCGTTTAACCCACCTGGCGACCAGTTACCTTGGTGGTGTTTGACCGTGTGTCCGTTGCCGCCTTGTCGTGCATTGCAGGAACACTTAGGATGGACCCAAGTTGTGGGGGGAATCATCATATATTCGGATGTGACGCACATGAGCAACAACGGCCGGAAGAAGGCGTGGCCGCTCATGATGACGCTTGCCAACATCTCCAAGGCCAAACGATGGGGGAAATCCGGCCACACGCTACTTTCCCTCCTTCCTATCCCCCCTTCTGCAATGTCTGCCATGGAGAAGGTGATGCTCTTCCAGCGATGCGTCACCACTGTGCTGCAGCCGCTTCTCGATGGCATGGAAAGGTCCGTACCCGGTGTTGCATCTTGCTATGTCGTCACCCAATCACCTGCATAGTATGCAGGGCGTCACCATATGTAGCAAACCCCTTTGCCCCTCTTCGTACATGTACAAATCATGTCCTCCCAATTCCTGATGCCACTCTACCTGTTCCTTGCTGCGGGTTCCGTCTTAGGGACCCATTCGGTGATTGGCAAACCGTGCGGCCCCTGCTGTACGCGTGGGTGTGCGACTACCCCGAGAGCGGCAAGATCAGTTGCACACTCTCGCATGGATCACGGATGCCGTGCAGCATCTGCTATGCTGCAAAGGTGAGCTTTCATGCCAAAGACATTGTCGTTTGAATGTCGCCTTATACAACCCATGAACTCACCACCCGTACCTTTGTATCCCATCCCACACCCCGTGCGATAACAGGAGCATCAAGTTGCTGTCAAGGCACGGAACACGCCGTGCACGCCTGAACAACAGCAATGGATCGTTAACGAGACGGCTGGGATGACAACTAACCAGGACAATCCCTGCAAGACCTACTCGACCTACCCTGTTGAGGTAAGCGACATGTTGCCCGCCACCCTGTGCAGTCTATGCACTCCTAAACCCCGAGGAATGGTCAGATGTGCTGTGCCCCATTCAAATCACCAGGCATTTTCTTTACGTTGGCTTCCCGGGTCTCACAAGTACAGATCTCCTCCATTCCCCACCACATCCCCGGTTTCCAGTGTGTGCTCTGGAAGTGGGATGTCCCAGGGACCGCGTGGGGCAATCCCTACCTCGTTGTCATGCCTGAGATCATGCACCAGGCGGACCTTGGCATCATGAGCCACATTGTGGCTGTCGTGCGCAAGATGAAGAAGCGGCGCGTGAAGCAGATGGACAGGTCAGTGTTTTGGGGGATTGGATTCATTGCTCTTGGTCACAAAAACTCAAAGCAAAACTACTGTGCTCGTACTGACATGTTTCTGGATTTGTGCCGCCATTAAACTGATGTGTATGGACAGGCGCTTGTCACTCATTCGCGACCGCACGCGACTGAATCACATGCGCATGCCAGAGAGCGCCTACTTCGAGACGGGAGCATGTGTCGCGGCCTATGAGCACAAGGCCGTCATGCAGGTATGAAAGCCTTGGTTGTTATCATCGTGTGCGATAGGCTGCACCCTAACCACACAGCATGCTGCTGCCTACCCCCTCCTCCATTCCCTGTTGCTTGTCCCCACCGCTCCTCAACCAGTCTGCTCATGCTGCCACTCCTTGTCCCTACTCCTCACACCATCTGTGCTAACCCTCCCCTTTGCTGCTATCCCCGAATTCTGCAGGTCATGGTGTTTGTTTTTGCCGGCCTGCTTCGTCAGCCCCAGATGGATGCAGTTCGTGCCTATCTTGGATGGTACCTCCTGTGCTCCCAGCCACAGGGGCACACTGAGCGGTCCC